AATCAAACCATGGATCATTAGCCCAACTCATATGTATCAATTTAATTAGTCTCTTTTGATCACTAAATTCATTCTTAAATTAATTCTTGATCAATACTAATTAAATAATATGATTTCTCAATTAATATATTATACTTATAATATATTAATAAATCATAATTAACCTCTTACTCAAATATCCTTCCTAACATATTGCTTTGATGAATGCAACCCAAATGGACAATGCTACTATCGCGTCAAGTACATACCAATTATAGTTATGAGTTTAGACACCTTTTCCAACAAATACATGGTCCATGTATAAACCTATGCAGGTCTGATGCTTATTTGCAAAAGTTGGTAACATGTCAAATAGTTATTTTTTTAACCGATAATAACGTAAAACAAAAAAGGGCCAACCTCTGTCTGAACTAGAAAAAAATAAAATAAATCCAAAACTAAACAACAAAACAACACCACCACCACATAAACAATAATTAGCCTGCATGGAGAAACAAAAAAATTAAAATAAAGGACTAAGATGGGAAAACAAAATGGTAAATGTGCCCGTAAGTGATTTAATCATTTTATAGCCTACCACTTCCACTTCTCCAGATTTGCAGTCAAAGTGTCAAGTGTCAAGTACATTGCTATTTTGGGTATAGATTCTTTTATGAACCACAAAACAAATATAAAATTAAACAAAAGAAGCCAAACGACAGCTGAACAAAGTACACAAACCAGTAAAATTACAACAACAATAGTACCAAATAAGAAGGTGGGAAATAAACAAAATCCTAAGAGCTAGGTAGACCAGGCTGCCAACAGACTCAAAAACATTTTCAAAAACTTAACAACAATAGCATTGTACTTCAAGTGAGAGCCAACCAAAAGCATTGTACTTTCCAACATGAATCAATAAGAGACGAAACTCTCAAGGGCAAATAACAACTCTAAATTAGATTAAAAACTTTCCAACACCCAAAACTCCAACCTCAAACTCATTTTGTGATATGTATGCACCAAGGGAAAGAGCATCCAAATCCTCTAATCTAGTCCACCAAGAAATGACCAGCTACCAGACTAAGTATCAACCTACTTCTAGATCACACTTTTGTACAAAGTACTTCTATCTTTGAATATGTAAATCTTTAAATAGCAAGCAACTCCCAAAATCCCCAAAATATCAAACCTCTTTGTTTTTGGGAAATAGTACTCATCTTAATTCTACTTTTGACAATGTACATCCATTAATTCCACCCAAATCTTTGAATCAACTGATCCAATTTCAACACGTCGTTATGCAAGTGTGATTCTGACTTGAGAGTGGTCCCATTTGAGTTCCACGTGTTTCAATATCATAACAATAAACAAGAAAGAAAACTCACACACAAAAGTTACCCACCCTATTCAATTATCACAAGAAAGGGATAGTAATCATATAAAAAATTACACTGAATGACGTCCATTAAGATCTCATTTCTTTCTGTCATTTCATGGAACACTTTAAGAGGGCCATCCAAAATCTCACATCTCACATAGTTTTCCTTTCTTCCTTAAGAACATAGGTTGAAGGCACTTAGAAGGCAGGTTGAAGGAGACTCATATATGTAAGTGATCTTAGCTTCATGTATGTACGTACGTGATGTCAGGATTAGAGGATTAGGGGTTGTATGTATGTATGTCATAGAAGGGTCAATGAAATTTGGTTAATCTATTATATGTCAAAAAGGTTTTAAACTTCAGCGGTAATAGGGTAAAATTAATGTTTCTTTTTAAATAATAATGATTTTAAAATATAATAATTGATTATAAATTGTTGAAAGTTGTTTAAAAATACAATTTGGACACATAAGATATTTTAAAGGTTAACTATGATTAGTGGGATATTTAGATTTTAAGTTGAACGAATTCGATATTTTATTCATTAATTAGTAGGATATACATGAAATTCTTCTCTTATTTTTATAAATCATATAAGTAATAATAAATAAATATACAAAATAGAGTGTTATTGACCTATATTTTATTTTAGTGATTAGTGATTAGCAAGGTTCTAAATAACGTAAGGCGTGACTTGGCGGTAATGTCAAGCCTCAAGTTTTTCCGAGCCTTGGCGAGCCACGTCGTTTGTAAGGCGTCATTTAAGGCGGCAAATTTGTATATAATTAATATTTTTATATGTATTTTCAGTTATTATTCTATTTTATACACATATATGAGTTAAGGTGGCGTTTTGGTAAAGCTCGACGGCATGCACAAGCCTTGAAGCCATGACGCGCCATGGCGGAGCCGTAGCAAGCTTTTTAGAACATTGGTGATTAGTGATTAACGCTTTAGTTTGTTACAAATTTTAACCGATCTAGAGTTCCTGCTTGTAGCACAAAGTGTTACTGTTTTCACGTGTCTCTCTCTTCCCTCCGTACCACATCTCTCTCTCTCTCACACACTCACACGCGCCGAAACAACGTGATGGTTTCTATATAAGCTGTTCTTGCTTGCCATTACAATAGACAATTGTATTTCCTCTCACGCTCTCATATCAAAAAGTAACACAAAAGAACGCATACAGAGAACCCAATCAAACACCTCCTACTGACATTCAAACCCTCCTCATCTCTCCAAGGTATCATCTTTTCTCTTCTCCGATTCTTTGGGATTTATTCCTAACCCTTTTGATGGCAAATCGTCATCTTTCCGCTTTATGCCTACAAGCTTATCGACGAAATGTGTTGAGGGTACCATTTTATGTCGGTTCGTTTGAAACTTGACTGTTAAAAAGCTTCGATTTTTCTTTGTAAATGTTGGATGTTTCACCCCTTTCTTACTTTCTTAATGGTTTTCATGGAAGTATATTATGTGTGAATGTATGTTTCCACTCTTTGAATGCTTCAAATAAACAACGATTGTTGATTGCTTTATGTTACTCTCATTGCTTTATCAACTACTCGGTCTCATTTCGGTGTTTTGAAAATGTCAATTTGTAAACTTTCTTTTATTGGTTTTTTGTCAGTCGAGTGATGTCACAGCTCATTACAATTCATTTTGTTTGCTGTTTGTTTTTATTAGGTGTCACTTGTTCCCATATAGAATTCACTAAAAACTTTTTTGCTATACATTTCCGTTTATCAACAAGATCTTGATTAACTAATTACAAGTTTATCAAAATGCATCAACAGGAAAAATCAAGACATAATTAGAGGCTCTTCAAAGTCCAAGCCATATCTTCAACTTGCATGGGGTTATCATTTTCGTGCCCATTTGCAGCATATACAGATATAGAATCAGGTCTAAAGTCCATCAGTTTAGAAGATGATGAAGTTAAAAGTTTGGGGTTATCTTGCAGTTTTAAGATCCAAGATTCCAAGCCAACAGAAATGCAAATAATGAGTTCTCAAGTAATGAAGATCGAAGGATCTCTTAACTCTAAACTTTCTTCAATCGATCATGTTGAAAAGACTGAAATACCCATTGAAGATGATCTCCAACAAGGAAGCCCCAAACATGAAGCAGCTACAAAGCTACAAAAAGTTTACAAAAGCTTTCGAACAAGAAGAAAGCTTGCAGATTGTGCAGTTCTAATTGAACAAAGCTGGTATGTGTTATTCATTATATTTGTATTTATATAATCATCTACATTTCTTCTTACAAATTTATACTTTTTTAGGTGGAAGCTTTTAGATTTTGCAGAACTTAAAAGGAGCTCCATATCTTTTTTTGATCTTGACAAACAAGAAACTGCCATTTCACGTTGGTCTAGAGCAAGAACAAGAGCTGCTAAGGTAAATTTACAAAAAAGTTAAATTAAATAACATTATCCATCTCAATTAACAAAACACAAAATATTAACATGTTTTTTTTTTCTTAATTTCCAGGTTGGAAAAGGTTTATCAAAGAATAGCAAAGCCCAGAAGCTTGCCTTGCAACACTGGCTTGAAGCTGTAAGTTAAACAATCTCCATAAAACTTATGTTGTTCTTTACATAAATAGGGTTTCATATTTCTTAAATTTGAATTTACTTTTTGTGACAGATTGATCCAAGACATCGTTATGGGCATAATCTTCACTTTTATTATGGAAATTGGTTGCACTCTCAAAGTAAAGAACCTTTCTTCTACTGGTAAGTAGAATGCTATAATACTAATTTCATTCAATTAAATCACATATATAGTTCAATATCTAATCTTTAATATTTGAAAAAAAAGGTTGGATATAGGAGAAGGAAAAGAAGTAAATCTTGTTGAAAAATGCCCTCGATCAAAACTTCAACAACAATGCATCAAATATCTTGGCCCTGTAAGTCTCTTTAAGTCTCTGTTCGTACACAGTACACAGTATACAGTACACAGTACACAATACACATTACACATTATACAGTATACAGTACACAGTACACAGAATGAATACTTATAAAGGTTGTTGATATTTTCTTTTCAGATGGAGAGGAAGGAATATGAGGTTATGATAGAAGAAGGGAAGCTTTTATACAAACAAACAGGAGAATATTTAGACACAATGGAAGCACCAAAGGGTTCTAAATGGATCTTTGTTCTTAGCACATCAAGAACTTTATATGTTGGCATAAAAAAGAAAGGTTTATTTCAACATTCAAGTTTTTTAGCTGGAGGTGCCACATTAGCAGCTGGAAGATTAGTTTCAGAAAATGGCATCTTAAAGGTAATTAATTTTCTCCCTTTTCTTAGCTTCAAAAAGATATACAATTTTTATAATTATTCTTATCATTCATTTCTTATTACTCAACAGGCAATCTGGCCTCACAGTGGTCATTATCGCCCCACTCAAGAAAATTTTCAAGATTTCATTTCTTTCCTTAAAGAAAATGACGTGGATATTACAAATGTCAAGGTAAAAATAACTCAAAACCATTCTTTTTATAATAAAAAAGGTATACTAGAACTCATTTTTGGATTCTTATTTTATTTTATTGTTATTTTCATCAGATGGATTCAGATGAGGAAGATAAGGAATCTCTTGGAAAGCAAAGTAGCATCATTCATATAAGAACTCATTCTTCAGAAGATGATGTCAGCGAAAAGGAGCGTTTGGGAACAGAAGATTTAGTTCTTGAAGATCATCCCTCAATAGTGTCCAATGTAATAAAACAACATATTTCAGAATCACCAAAAAAATCAAGACTTTCACGATGTTCAAGTAGAAAATTAAGTACTCTCAAAATACCCAAAAAAGATGATCTTTTTATCGATTTAAACACCCAAGATTTATCATCAGAGACCATTTTGGATGGGTATGAAGCAGCAGAAGACTCTTTCATATCTCACCAAATTCATAACCAATCAGGGAATGACATGTCAGATGATGAAGAACAAGAACACGATAAGCGAAATGTAGAGGACACAGTTTCTAAAAAATCGATATTTCAAAGGATTAATTCACATAAAGGGGAAAAATCTTTTCAATTGGGAAGACAACTTTCGTGTAAATGGACAACAGGAGCTGGGCCTAGGATCGGGTGTTTGAGGGACTACCCTATGGAGCTGCAGTCGCATGCATTGGAACAAGCGAATTTATCTCCAAAAAGTGCTCCTTGCAATAAGAATATAAATAAGGTTTTTTGTTCAAGTCCTTGTTCTTTTGAGAATAAGAGTTTGGTTTCAAGAAATTGTGGACCTTATAGAACAAGATCTTCTCCTATAGGTGATTTTACAAAGATTTTTTGATTCTTTTAGGGTGAATATGAGATTGACATAGGCATTTTTTATTCATTCTTTTTGAAATTTAAATGTTGAAATATGTATACACTTTTTTTTTTCTTTATAGAGAAATATAAAAGGAAATTGTAGATGTTAGATTTGTATTCATTGATAATTAATTCCCTTTTTACAGTTGAATCATAAATGAAAGAAAGTTGATATCTTTTTTTATTTGCTTTCTTTGATCTTTCAAACATACGATTGTCTAAGTTGTACTTTATGCAAGCGTGGTTGTACTTGTTGTACACTTGTACGTACTCAACAATATCGTCAATAAACGCGTAATTCCAGTAGATTTGCTGGAAAGTTTCATTTGTTTTTTTATTGTTATTCATATAGGGAAGAGCGTTGACTTTTGATTAGTCAAAGTTTCAAATATCAATAGTTTGCTTTAAAGTTTACTTGGACTGTATGGGGAAATGGAGGTCTTTTCCAGCTTGTTGAAACCGTGTGAGAAAGTAAACAAAGTGTTCATTCATTCGTCATTATAAAATTAGTAAATTACAATTTTAATCCTATGGTATGGAAAAAGTTATGGTTTTGATTTAGATGTTTGCTCAGTTGCACAAATGGTCCCTAAAATGTAGTTTGGTTTCATACTTGGTCCTTAGATAGTTTAACTTAACAATGTATACTTTATGCCCATGCTAAATGACTATTTTGTCCTTATCTTCTTCATTTCACCCCTTCATTGTCATTTTCAACAAACCCTAAATCAAAGCTTTTATAAGGATTGTTTAATTTTGATATTTGATATTTGAGTTTTGATTTTGATTCTTGTTTATTTTAATTTAACTTCAGATTTGATTTGTTGAAGATGAAGATTGAATTAAAAATGAAGAAGAAAAGGATAGAATGGTCATTTAGCATTAACATAAGGGATTCAACATCAAGGAAAACGGTCCATGGATCAAAAGTACAACCAAGCTATATTTTAGGGATCATCTGTGCAACAAACCAAACATCTAGATGCGAACTTTAACTTTTGGAATAGTACAAGGACTAAAGTTGTTATTTACTCTTATAAAAAAGGAATAAAAAAATATAAAGTGTAGGTGATGTGTAACAGTCTAACATAATTGAAGTCAATGTGGCTGAAATAAAACAAAGATCCATGAGAACCAAATATTCTTAACACTAGGTTTTGGTACAACAATATTATAATTAAAGTTAATTAAGCATAGATTACTGCAAATGGCAGTTGTACTTGTCTGTGGTACCATCTTCAAGGTCCCAGATTTCCTTTGAGCAATGGAACATGGTGACTACATGTGATTGAGATGCCCGACCTTCTTTTTAAATCATTTTAGGGATTTGCATTATTTGCAACTCCCATAGATGGATCTTAACGTGTTCACATTGGTGACTCAATCGAGAAATCATCATCCTAGTTGCATATATTGGTTTATATTATTGAAATAAGTTTTTAACATTTACTCGAGCTTATCTAAACGCTCGATACTTTCTTACGATTCTTAGAAGTCATGGATTAAGATCTCTTTTGAAATGTGCTTAATAAATTACAAGAAATGCATCATATATGTGAATGTGGTTTGGTCGATCTTTATATTTATTCTTATAACAATATAGCATTTTTGTATCTGGTTGTTAATCTTGGCATGTGCGTAGCCAATTTTGGATACTCGCCTCAAAACCAATGGATAATAGCTTATTATTAGCCTTATTGTTCGAATTCAACTATGTTAATCTTTAGGACTAATCGTTGGTTGTTTTAGTGTCATCATTTCATTATAAACTCGAGACAAGATGAGTTCAACTTTGGCTATAATCTAAAATAGGAGGTGCGAAGTGCACACTTAGATAAACTAATATGGACTAAGGAACAAGGGTATGCGGGGTCAGCGCCCTGGTGGTGTTCCAAGACGTATCGCTCCTAGATGGGTCTAGGGGAAGCTACCCTAACGGAGCCCAAAGGGCAACAAGAGCTTTATGTTGATAAAAGATTAGTTCCTACCAAGACTAACCGTCGTAACTGTTGGTAAAATTGTGATTTTCCCTCCACAATTAATTGAATTAAACTACCATTGTCTCTATATATCGATGTTGTCGGTTGTTGGAGGAAAAACACATGGATTTCATATTGTTACTCTACCGAATTATTGTAAAACATAGCAAAGGTATTCTATATTTTGCAATGGGAAATCTCCGATAAAGTCCGAATATTTTAGATCAGTTTACGGTTTAATCCCAACATTTATTTTTTGAACAGAAAAGTTTTGATTATTTAATTTTATACAATAATCTGTCATTTTCTGTTAAAAAAATATAATGACTGTTTCGTTACTTTGGAAAAAATATAAAATAATGAGGATATTTTTGTTCAAAAAATAAAAATTGATATTAAACCATAAACGAGCCCAAAATACTATAACTTTATCGAAGATTTCTCTTTTGCGACCTTGGATTTGCCTTAAATCCAAATTGGTTTCTTGGATTATTCAAAGACCGAATACGTGTAATCACACATGATTACAAATTTTGGAAAGTTTTTCTAACACAATCCATAAAATTATTCAAATGGTATAAATATCTTAACCTATTTTTCTAACACCAATGTTAATTTACAAAAAGACTTAAATTCGCCTACTTTATATTCATGAATACCAGTAAAAGTCCACAAAATCTATGAATTTTGTAGGATTTGAAATACTACATATGTGTGAGAGATGAAACTTTTCTCATTAATCTATTGACGTAAAATGTTATAGATTTAAGTGAAAAATCTCTAAATTCAATCAACATATAAAATACCATCAAATTGTTTTAGGATCTTGGTTTTCTTGAGTTGAAACTATGGTTTAAATAATAGATATAAGAAGATGACAAGAGAAAGCATTAAGGTAGTACATGATTATGTTGGAGATTGTAGGTTTATGTCGTTGAGTTCATGCATGTATACAAACAATGGTGGATCAATTATTTCGTAATTGATTCTTGTGATGACTAGGAAGAATCTTATCCTCATCCACTTCTAACTGGGCATATGTATGCTTTTGGGTAGTTAAAGTTTTGGTTAGAGAATCTTGATCTCAATCTCTAATATGTCAATCATGTTGGTCATTCTTCCTATTAAAACGATCGTTGGTTCTCTATATATCTTATATATTCAAGTTTTAAATTTGTCATCGAGTACTGTTAAGTGAATTATCAAGAATATGTCCATAATCAAACTACCCATTTAAATACAGTTTGCTCATATTCAAGTTTTAATTTTGCCGTACGATTAATTTTAAAATAAAAAATGTATAAATTTTATATTGATAATGTAGCAATGATTTTTTATCATTAAAGTTTCAATTTGTTAAATAAATATTTTATTTTAAAATTATAAATAATGGTCCTTATGTTATAACTTATTATTAAAGTTATTTTATAAATTATTATGTTGATATAACTATTAATTTTTTAATGAGTTATATAACAAAATAGTGAAGTGGGTTTTAAAATGGATTAAACAAAATTTGCCCAATATATTTTCTTTTCACAGGTTTTGATCCTTTGACAGGTTCCATGATAATTCATTGACAAAATTGCAAAAATGGTCCCTGAGGTTGGCAAAATTTTATGATATTGGTCCAAAATTTTTTGATTGTGCACCAATGGTCCAAAATTGGATCTTTTTATTGGTTTTGGTCTCTATCACCTTAAAAATACTATTATACCCCTTAGAATTGTTTTTTTTTAATTTTTTAATTTATATTATTGTTTTTATTAATTTAAATAAAAATGGCTCTTTCTCTCTCTAAATGCAACCACCACCACCACTTAAACCTAAAACATTTTCTGCAACTTGTTCAGCCTCCATACTGGAGAAAGTCATCGCCACCGCCAGATGTCGCCACCCCTATCATTATTGGCCACCAATTTCACCTGAAAAACATGCTCGATGGGTTGTCTCCGGTTCGACCTTACCACCACCGATGCCACATATCCGGTCTTCCACAACCTCAATTATCGTCGTCAGCCGTTAACATCGCCGCCCACTGTCAACATCGCCGCCCACCGAAGTTCAACTGAATCAAGATACAGATCTGGATCGAGAAGTTCTCCACCTCTCTTGTCTCTCTCTTATGCTGGTACCAACACCAGATTTTGCATAAACAAAGTTAGGGGAGACAAACGTCTGTAAGGGTCGAATTGTTGTAATTAGTCGAAGTATGTTTTGGACTCTTCGAATGTTTTGTAATGTAT